TTAAACTGTTTTCCAAAATGTTGTGGTTAAGTCTAGACACTTACTTACCAAAATTGTTCCACACGGAACAAAGCCGGTTTGTTAAAAAAACTTTTATCCCCGGATTACCTCAATTGACTATTACATATTTTAAATGCTTCATCAGAAACAACAGCTCCTTGGCCTGTAATATTTCTCGATACAGAAAAAGCTTTTTGATTTTTCTCCAAGATGTTCAAACGTTCATAGATGACCAATAGGGTCAAATAATAATCACAGTGGTTGTAGAGGTTGCAACAGATCAGCACAGTAAATGTCACTTGGCTTTTCATAGCCGGGCATTTAGAGGTTGAAATAGCAGGTGCGGTAGAGAGAGAGAGTTGAAAACAGCAGGTCTGGGACAAGGTAGCACGTCCGGTGAACAGGTCAGGGTTCCATAGCCGCAGGCAGAACTGTTGAAACTGGAGCAGCAGCACGACCAGGTGGACTGGGGACAGCAAGGAGTCATCAGGCCAGCTAGTCCTGAGGCATGGTCCTAGGGCTCAGGTCCTCCGGGAGGATTCATATGATTCAGATGCTATATGCCAATCCCTCAGCCATAGTTATAACAGGCAATATCTGCTCTGCTCCGTTCAGAATCACTAGAAGCAGCAGACAAGGCGATCCAAAATTAATAATGCCATTTTCTAAATGTATATGGCAAGGTAGGCTAAACAATCGTAGATAAAATTAACAAACCTACAAAAAGGGAAAGATGTAGGAGGACTATCCGTACCAAACATTAAATAATTTTCCAGGCACTAGCATTTCGCCCAATCCTAAATTGGTTTAGACATGATTCTTCTGCCCCCTGGCTGAGTATAGAGAAAAATATGGTGTTCCTATTGCCCTGGAAGAGGTGGTCTTCACTGATTTATCCCTTAAACAATGTAAACTATGCATTGGTCCTATTATTGCTCACACAATTTCTATTTGGCACAAAATGTAAAAACAATGTAACTGGGAATTAAAATGGTGGCCTTTCGCATCCCTCCAGTGGTCCAAATGTGGAACCCGTACCCTTGCCGATATCATGGACAGTAATGGTTTGAAAGCATTCTAAGACTTGAAAGATACATACACATTACCAGGCAAATCCTTTTTTCTATATTTACAATTTAGGTCAGCTATGCTGGCCTATGGAGACCCTTGTGAAACCCAACTACTGAACCATCCAATTATGTTGTTTATAAATAAATGATCTGGTCAACTTTTGGAAAGCTCATATTCTGAGCTAGCCATTAAAAAAGTATGGTCCACAGATCTAATTGAATCTGAACAACCCTTTAACTGGAACAGAATATGGAAAAAGATGACCTTGGCATCCCGTAATCCGAACCATCAATTGATAGATTTTAAGTTTGCTCACAAACTGTATTTAACACCATGGAAACATTTTACGATTAAATTGGCCCCAACTCCCATCTTTTCACTGTTCCCTGAATCAGGAAGGCACATTCCTCTATATGATGTGGGAGTGCCCTTCAGTAAAATGTTTCTAGGGTAAATGTTTAAAAATATATTTTGAAGTGCATGAATGTAAATATTGAATTATTTGCATCTATTATGTCACTTAACAATGAAAGCCAAGTTAACAAACAGATCATCGACCATTTCGAATACCACCGTACCTTCTCCGCTATGCAATCCGGTTTCCGAGCTGGTCACGGGTGCACTTCAGCCACGCTCAAGGTCCTAAATGATATTATAACCGCGATTGATAATAGACAGTACTGTGCAGCTGTCTTCATCGACCTGGCCAAGGCTTTCGACTCTGTCAACCACCGCATTCTTATTGGCAGACTAAATAGCCTTGGTTTCTCAAATGACTGCCTCGCCTGGTTCACCAACTACTTCTCAGATAGAGTTCAGTGTGTCAAATCGGAGGGCCTGTTGTCTGGACCTATGGCAGTCTCTATGGGGGTGCCACAGGGTTCAATTCTTGGGCCGACACTTTTCTCCGTGTATATCAATGATGTCGCTCTTGCTGCTGGTGACTCTCAGATCCACCTCTACGCAGACGACACCATTTTGTACACATCTGGCCCTTCATTGGACACTGTGTTAACAAACCTCCAAACGAGCTTCAATGCCATACAACAATCCTTCAGTAGCCTCCAACTGCTCTTAAACACTAGTAAAACTAAATGCATGCTTTTCAATCGAACGCTGCTGGCACCCGCCCACCCGACTAGAATCACCACTCTCGACGGGTCTGACCTAGAGTATGTGGACAACTACAAATACCTAGGTGTCTGGTTAGACTGTAAACTCAACTCCAGACTCACATAAAGAATCTCCAATCCAAAGTTGTGGTCCTCTGTAGCCATTTACTCGTAAGCAGGCCTGAACGCCAATTTGGGTTCGATCCGGACCACCTACAAATGACACATGATGTAACTACCTCCGATAAAAGCGTTCTAATGGCTTCATTTATATATTTTTATTAGAATCGCTCTCCTAATCGCATAAACCTCTCACTCAGCTGCCAAACATGCTTTGTCAAACTGACATCCTACCATCCTTACCTCGCGAGTCATCAAAACTCCCGAACGCCTAACTCCAATTGGAATAGCTATCACAGTGATCCGTTTAGTCCATGCACGCATGACTGTAAGTCGCTTTGGATAAAAGCGTCTGCTAAATGGCTTATTTTTTTATTTATTTTTTAATCTAGAATCGGCTTCCTATTTCGCAATAAAGCCTCCTTCACTCATGCTGCCAAACATGCCCTCGTAAAACTGACTATCCTACCGATCCTTGACTTCGGCGATGTCATTTACAAAATAGCCTCCAACACTCTACTCAGCAAATTGGATGTAGTCTATCACAGTGCCATCCGTTTTGTCTCCAAAGCCCCATACACTACCCACCACTGTGACCTGTACGCTCTTGTTGGCTGGTCCTCACTACATGTTCGTCGTCAAACCCACTGGCTCCAGGCCATCTATAAATCACTGCTAGGCAAATCCCCGCCTTATCTTAGCTCATTGGTCACCATAGCAGCACCCACCCGTAGTCTGCGCTCCAGCAGGTATATCTCACTGGTCATTCCCAAAGCCAACACCTCCTTTGGCCGCCATTCCTTCCAGTTCTCTGCTGCCAATGACTGGAACGAATTGCAAAAATCTCTGAAGCTGGAGACTCTTATCTCCCTCAATAACTTTAAGCATCAGTTGTCAGAGCACCTTACCGATCACTGCACCTGTACACAGCCCATCTGAAATTAGCCCACCCAACTACCTCATCCCTATATTGTTATTTATTTTGCTCTTTTGCACCCCAGTATCTCTATTTGCACATAATCTCTTGCACATCTAGCATTCCAGTGTTAATACTATTGTAATTATTCTGCACTATAGCCTATTTATTGCCTTACCTCCATAACTTGCTACATTTGCACACACTGTATATATATTTTCTGTTGTATTTCTGACTTTATGTTTTTTTACCCCATATGTAACTCTGTGTTGTTTTTATTGCACTACTTTGCTTTATCTTGGCCAGGTCGCAGTTGTAAATGAGAACCTGTTCTCAACTGGCTTACCTGGTTAAATAAAGGTGAAATAAAATAAATAAATAAATAAAATAGCTCCTTGAATCTCTCAATAAATCAGAGAAGATTACTACTAGCAGGCAGCACTGCCGCAAAAAAATATGTTGGCTCTTAGATGGCAATCACCTCACTCTCTCCCAATTCGCCAGTGGATAAAGTTACTATTAGAAGTTATACAATTCTAATTATGGACAGCGAAAATTAATGGTTCTAGTCAAGGAACAATTGAGGCCTGGACAAATATACTTGACTCTAAAGAATTATCTCAGCTAAAGCCCAACACATACAAATGACCAATTCATAAAGCCCAACACATACAAACAAACATGTAAGGGATCAATAAGGGATCGTAGCTTTCAGCTGGATTCACCTGGTCAGTCTATGTCATGGAAAGAGCACTTGTTTCTAATACTTTATACACTCAGTGTATATATCTACTTTAATCTTTTTTTACTTTCTTTGCTTGCAGGCCCACAAGAAAGGGGTGGCATGGGGAAGGTTTTCTCTGGTCTCAGGGAGGGGTGGCGGGAGGGTGGGTGGGGGTTGCCTGATGAGCAACCCTAGTTGCTAGGGGGGTGGGAAGGTTTCCGGGAGAGGGGGGTGGGATTTGGATGGAGACATGTTGGCTAGGTGGGATGGGGGAATGGGATGGGAGGTTGGGGGTTGAGGCCCACTTCTTTTTTTTTTCTTTTCCTGTTTATACTGAATTTATTATGACTTAAACTCTGTATTTTTTTCTTCTTCATTTGAGTGGCAGCTTACTAGTACATGTTTTATAAACGTATCATTTGAAATGGATAATGTACCTGTAACCCCCCCCCCCCCAACAAACATTTTTTTTTTTTTTTTTAGTTGTAAAAAAAAAAAAAAAAAAAAAAAAGCTCTGTCAACCTGAGTTTGAAACAGATGAGTTTGAAAGTGGATGTGATCTTGTGTTTACATGTAAACAGAATTATAAAGGCCTAGGTACCAGGGGTAGAGCGAAGAGGCATTGCACCGCTATTGTACTCCCTCCACTGCAGAATATATAATATATTTTCAAAATATGTATATGCATTAAAGACAAAGTTGATTGTTTCCTAATGTATTTATTGCATTTTTCTGCCATGTACAGACCGTCAAAGCAGCCAGCAAGGATTTTAGATGGCGCAATACCGCCACCTGCCGGTTACCCTGCTCATCATAAACTGTAAACACGCACGTCCACAATCATGTGGATTGTTCGGCGTAATCTGGTTTGTATCGGAAATCATTTGACTATTTTACTCACAATCATGCAATTATGATGAAAATGTAGACATAACAAAACAATTGCAATAACGATTGGCATATTGATATAGCTTAAACCCAGAAAAAATCAGAATACAATACTTACATTTCCAGCGTGGTGCATGCGCAGATCCTACGCAACCTTGGGGTCCTCGACCACAAGGCCACCCTTAGTCGCGCGTCTTTTCTGTAGTGCTCTGGTAGTAGATTTGCAAATCAACACGTGTTGGAACTTGGAGTGGATGGATAGTACATTTTAATTAAATTACTTTTTTTGAATTCGAGATTTTAGGAAATCATTAAAATTGATATACATTGACAATTTAAAATCAATCAAGTCCAAATATTTACCATTTGACCGCGGTGCACCATTTCTTTTTGGTGAGTTCAAAAACATGCTTTGTGAACATTACTACAGCCCTGAGGTAGCCTAGCCTGTTGTTAGCTCAATTGACGCGATGGAGTCAATTGATGATGATGGCATCCTCGGGCTAGGTGACCTTGGAGTCAGCATTTTATATATTCCTTGTACTGTATTATGACAGGTTTGGGCGCGTGGTACATCGATGCATTGTCCTAGGTTAGGATTCAGTTTAGCTAGCTAGCCGGCTAGTGTGGCTCAAAGTTACTGATAATGGGATAGGATAGCAAGCTAACTGTGCTGTAGATAGCTAACGTTACGTTATATGTTGCAAGACCTGTACCACTATTAGGGAACTCGTGTTACAACTTTGGCACGTGGGCTAACTGCGATATTTATTAACGAACTCAATTGTTGTACATTGTTGCATTTACTTGGTTGTTGTAACCACTGAGTAGCTAGATTTCCTATTTAAAAGAATTAGAAAAAAGTAACGATGATCCCTTAGATGCGCGCGCCCTCTTTGTCCTTTATTTCTCTGAGCGATGTAGCCACCACACAGGTACTGTACCACATAGTTTCTCATACTGTACCGTCTTTGCATGTACTGTACCACCGTGCACCTTGTCAGTGATAAAGCTGACAGAACGATAGAAATCAGCAAGCCCCCCCAATCCCGAGGGGAAGGAATGTTGATTACAAAATACTCTAGAGCAATTTTTTCACCATCTGAGGGGTTGACTTGCCTGGTTGAGCCACACTAAAGTAAAAAGACAGGGCTAAAGTTCCTTGCTCAAGGGCACAACGGCAGGAGATGGCATCTAGGTGTAGGATACCTAGAATCCTCCCAGTCGGACTTGGGATTTGAACAGGAACATTTCCAGTTGCTGGCGCACCTCTCCAACTTCTAGGCTACCTGCCGCCTCAAGTAGCTACTATAACCAATTAACTACAGTATTGTACATTGATCAATTATCCGTATTATTGTGTCCTACCCAGTGCCACAATGAAGTACATCCTGGTCACTGGTGGTGTCATCTCAGGCATCGGGAAGGGCATCATCGCATCCAGCATGGGAACCATCCTCAAGTCATGTGGTCTGCGTGTCACCGCCATCAAGATTGACCCCTACATCAACATAGATGCAGGGACCTTCTCTCCGTACGAGCATGGTGAGTTAAGGAGATGTTCTTTATCATAGAAATAGTGAGTTCTATGAAAATGTAATTCGATTTCTATGTTCTGTATCCCATCAGTTTGAGATATGTCTTATGTGTATGCGGTGTAACTTGGTTCACAAAATAGTTTTATGCCATGCATGATCTACACCAGTGCTTCTCAACGGTGAGTCCAGGGTCATGAAACAGAAGAAAATGCTAACTAACTATTATAGGTTGATACTACACTGGCAATGATATTATAGGCTTTTGACTCTGTCAATCACCACATTCTTATTGGCAGACTAAATAACCTTGGTTTCTCAAATGACTGCCTCGCCTGGTTCACCAACTACTTCTCAGATGGAGTTCAATGTGTCAAATCGGAGGGCCTGTTGTCTGGACCTCTGGCAGTCTCTATGGGGGTGCCACAGGGTTCAATTCTCGGGCCGACTCTATTCTCTGTGTATATCAATGATGTCGCTCTTGCTGCTGGTGACTCTCAGATCCACCTCTACGCAGATGACACCATTTTATATACATCTGGCCCTTCATTGGACACTGTGTTAACAAACCTCCAAACGAGCTTCAATGCCATGCAACACTCCTTCCGTAGCCTCCAACTGCTCTTAAACGCTAGTAAACCTAAATGCATGCTCTTCAATCAAACGCTGCTTGCACCCGCCTGCCCGACTAGAATCACTACTCTCAGTGGGTCTGACTTAGAATATGTGGACAACTATAAATACCTAGGTGTCTGGTTAGACCGTAAACTCTCCTTCCAGACTCACATTAAGCATCTCCAATCCAAAGTTAAATCTAGAATCGGCTTCCTATTTCGCAACAAAGCCTCCTTCACTCATGCCCTCGTAAAACTGACTATCCTACCGATTCTTGACTTACATTTACATTTTAGTCATTTAGCAGACGCTCTTATCCAGAGCGACTTACAGTTAGTGAGTGCATACATAATTTTTTTATTTTTCATACCCCCGTGGGAATCGAACCCACAACCCTGGCGTTGCAAACGCCATGCTCTACCAACTGAGCTACATCCATGCAGGCCATTCCCTCCCCTACCCTAGACGACGCTGGGCCAATTGTGCGCCGCCCCATGGGTCTCCCGGTCACGGCCGGCTACAACAGAGCCTGGATTCGAACCAGGATCTCTAGTGGCACAGCTAGCACTGCGATGCAGTGCCTTAGACCACTGCGCCACTTGCGATGCCATTTACAAAATAGCCTCCAACACTCTACTCAGCAAATTGGATGTAGTATATCACAGTGCCATCTGTTTTGTCACCAAAGCCCCATATACTACCCACCATTGTGACCTGTACGCTCTCGTTGGCTGGCCCTCACTACATATTCATTGCCAAACCCACTGGCTCCAGGTCATCTATAAATCACTGCTAGGCAAATCCCCGCCTTATCTTAGCTCATTGGTCACCATAGCAACACCCACCCGTAGTATGTGCTCCAGCAGGTATATCTCACTGGTCATCCCCAAAGCCAACACTTCCTTTGGCCGCCATTCCTTCCAGTTCTCTGCTGCTAATGACTGGAACGAACTGCAAAAATCTCTGAAGCTGGAGACTCTTATCTCCCTCACTAACTTTAAGCATCAGTTGTCAGAGCAGCTTACCGATCACTGCAGCTGTACACACCCCATCTGTAATTAGCCCACCCAACTACCTCATCCCCATATTGTTATTTATTTTGCTCATTTGCACCCCAGTATCTCTATTTGCACATCTTCTTCTGCACATCTATCACTCCAGTGTTAATACTAAATTGTAATTATTTTGCACTATGGCCTATTTATTGCCTTGCCTCCATAACTTACCACATTTGCACACACTGTATATAGATTTTCTATTGTGTTATTGACTCTGTTTTGTTTTATCCCATGTGTAACTCTGTTGTTGTTTTTATCGCACTGCTTTTCTTTGTCTTGGCCAGGTCGCAGTTGTAAATGAGAACTTGTTCACAACTGGTTTACCTGGTTAAATAAAGGTGAATAAAATAAATAAAAAAAGTCTGAGAGCCGTAATTCTCATATGCCATGATGAGGCCTCCCAAGTACTATTCTCTGTTTGTTATGGAATTACTTTCTACACAGTTATCAGAATCATAAAATGTTATTGCCATACAATAAATGTTACTAGGAATGTGTCTTGGTGTCCTGTGTATACAGAAGGGTACCTCAACATCAATAGTCTAGATCCCGTGTAGCTCAGTTGGTAGAGCATGGCGCTTGCAACGCCAGGGTTGTGGGTTCGATTCCCACGGGAGGCCAGTATGAAAAAAAAAAATAATGAAGGAAAATGTATGCACTCACTAACTGTAAGTCGCTCTGGATAAGAGCGTCTGCTAAATGACTAAAATGTAAAAAAAATCCCTCAAATTTAACTCCGGACCTCGAAGCCAGTTCCACTGCATTTTTTTCTTTGTTCCCCTCTAATCAGGGACTGATTAGACCTGGGAAACCAGGTGGGTGCAATTAATTATCAGGTGGAACAGAAAACCAGCAGGCTCTGGACCTCTGGAAGAGTTTAATACCCCTGGTTTAGATCAACATCGATACAGATGGAGACGTGAACATCCATTCAAATATACAGAATCATGTCCCTCTCTCTGTGTCTACGTATGAAAAATGTATGCACTCACTAACTGTAAGTCGCTCTGGATAAGAGCGTCTGCTAAATGACTCAAATGTAAATGTAATGTTTGCGTGTTGGCTAGGGTTTTAACCATGCCACTCGACTTCTTTCAGGTGAGGTTGTTTTAACCCTGTTCCTCTGGTCTCCCTCCAGGTGAGGTGTTTGTGCTGGACGATGGGGGTGAGGTGGATCTGGACCTGGGGAACTACGAGAGGTTCCTGGACATCAGACTGACCAAAGACAACAACCTGACCACAGGCAAAATCTACCAGTCTGTCATCAACAAGGAGAGGAGAGGAGACTACCTGGGAAAGACCGTACAGGGTAAGACTCCCTATAAGACGGTGCGGGATAAGGGCTTGGATGACTGGTAGAAACAGTATATACAAGGGTTAGAGGAAGAGCTACCAGTCTGTCATCAACAGGAAGAGGAGACTACCTGGGAAAGACTATACAGGGTAAAACATAGTCATGCTGGGAGAGAGACTGGGTATACAGGAGCAGACCCTTGTTGAATACTTGATGTGCATTTGATTTAGCTTGTGTGACATGGCAGTTCTGACCTCAGTCCGATATCCTACGAAGAACCAATGATAAAGAGGAAGGATATGAGCTATCAAGTTCTCTTGTCATTTTCTCTACTTCTCCAGACTAACTGTCCCTGTTTGGTGTGTCCTTGCAGTGGTGCCCCACATCACTGATGCCATCCAGGAGTGGGTGATGCGTCAGGCCAGAGTACCTGTTGACGATGACGGTGTGGAGCCTCAGATCTGTGTCATCGAGGTAAGAGATTATGGGTATGGTAAACAATGGTAGATCAATGACTTCCAGAGAACGTTGCTTGGTTTGATATTAGTGTGACATGTACTTGAGGAGTAATTTCAGGCTGGGTAGACTAGTTGTATTCCTGTGTAATGTATTTACCGGTATGTCTGTTTATGTGTACAGCTAGGAGGCACTGTGGGAGACATCGAGAGCATGCCTTTCATCGAAGCCTTCAGGCAGTTCCAGTTCAAGGTGAAGAGAGAGAACTTCTGTAACATCCACGTCAGCCTGGTACCACAGCCCAGTGCCACAGGAGAGCAGAAGACCAAACCCACTCAGAACAGTGTCAGAGAGCTCAGAGGACTGGGCCTGTCTCCTGATCTGGTGAGTTAAAATTAACCCAAGTTTTTCTAAGCATAGCAAGTTATGACAGTCATAACCACTTTTCTGTACATTTAGTGCAAGGATTGTCTTGTTTGCTAATTGTGTTTGTGTTCTCAATACCCTCCAGATCATGTGTCGCTGCTCCACTCCCCTGGAGAACTCTGTCAAAGAGAAAATCTCCATGTTCTGTCATGTAGAACCTGAACAGGTAAGACCTGATCCTACAGTCATACGCTAGGATGGCACACGACACTGGCTCAATAAATCTTCAAGGAAAGATGAATAAAGAAGCACCACTGAATCCTCTAGTTGTGACTGAGTGTGTGCTCTCCCCTCCTCCCCCAGGTGATCTGCGTGGCAGATGTGTCGTCCATCTACAGAGTGCCTCTGCTACTGGAGAACCAGGGGGTGGTGGGCTACTTCTGTCAGAGACTAGACCTTCCTATAGAGACACGCCCCAGGAAGATGCTCACCAAGTGGAAGGAGATGTCTGACAGGTGGGTGTGTCTGACAGGTGTGTGGGCAGGCAGTCTCTGGGACTGGTAGCACTCAATTATTTAGACCAGGGCTCGGTTTCCCCAAAAAACCGGGCCCAGGGCTGTTCATTGTCGGTCCTTCTAATAAGGGACTAATTCAGACCTGTAGAAACAAAAACAGTAGTGTGTCGACCCTCCAGGACCGGAATTGAACAACCCTGATTTAGACCCACCACGTTTGAGTTTGACCTCTGGATAAAGAACTACATATCTGGATGAGAACTACAGAGATGTGTAATTACGCTGTTTGGGTGCTCTGCCTATTCACCTGTTGTATTGCAGCACTATGGCGTGACCTGTATTCAGATTATTGGTGCTTTAAACCAACTGGGAACTCTTGGGGGAAAAAACGAGGTCAAATCATGACGTTCCCAGTTGTCTTGAACGCACTGAAGTCGGAGATTTCAGAGTTCTCAGTTTTAAACGCGGCATATAACTTTGCCTATGGTGTGTGTTTGAATCCCAGGTCAGACAGGCTCCTAGAGCAGTGTTCTATAGCCCTGGTGGGGAAATACACCAAGTTCACAGACTCCTACGCGTCAGTCATCAAAGCTCTAGAACACTCTGCCTTAGCCATCAGCCACAAACTGGAGATCAAGGTAAAATGCACACAGCCATGCTAAAACACATGTACAAACTACACACTTGGAAAGGCACTACTGGCCGGTTTCCTGGACATAAACTCAGCAAAAAAAGAAACGTCCCTTTTTCAGGACCCTGTCTTTCAAAGATAATTCGTTAAAAAAAAAATGAAATAACTTCACAGATCTTCATTGTAAAGTGTTTAAACACTGTTTCCCATGCTTGTTCAATGAGCCGTAAACAATTAATGAACATGCACCTGTGGAACGGTCGTTAAGACACTAACAGCTTACAGACTGTAGACAATTTAAGGTCACAGTTATGAAAACTAAAGAGGCCTTTCTACTGACTCTGAAAAACACCAAAAGAAAGATGTCCCTGCTCATCTGCGTGAATGTGCCTTAGGCATGCTGCAAGGAGGCATGAGGACTGCAGATGTGGCCAGGGCAATAAATTGCGATGTCTGTACTGTGAGACGCCTAAGACAGCGCTGCAGGGAGACAGGACGGACAGCTGATCGTCCTCGCAGTGGCAGATCACGTGTAACAACACCTGCACAGGATCGGTACATCCAAACATCACACCTGCGGGACAGGTACAGGATGGCAACAACAACTGCCCGAGTTACACCAGGAACGCACAATCCCTCCATCAGTGCTCAGACTGTCCGCAATAGGCTGAGAGAGGCTGGACTGAGGGCTTGTAGGCCTGTTGTAAGGCAGGTCCTCACCAGACATCACCGACAACAACGTCGCCTATGGGCACACACCCACCGTCGCTGGACCAGACAGGACTGGCAAAAAGTGCACTTCACTGACGAGTCGCGGTTTTGTCTCACCACGAGTGATGGTCGGATTCGCGTTTATCGTCGAAGGAATGAGCGTTACACCGAGGCCAGTACTCTGGAGCGGGATCGATTTGGAGGTGGAGGGTCCGTAATGGTCTGTGGCGGTGTGTCACAGCATCATCGGACTGAGCTTGTTGTCATTGCAGGCAATCTCAACGCTGTGCGTTACAGGGAAGACATCCTCCTCCCTCATTTGGTACCCTTCCTGCAGGCTCATCCTGACATGACCCTCCAGCATGACAATGCCACCAGCCATACTGCTCGTTCTGTGCATGATTTCCTGCAAGACAGGAATGTCAGTGTTCTGCCATGGCCAGCGAAGAGCCCGGATCTCAATCCCATTGAGCACGTCTGGGACCTGTTGGATCGGAGGGTGAGGGCTAGGGCCATTTCCCCCCAGAAATGTCCGGGAACTTGCAGGTGCCTTGGTGGAAGAGTGGGGTAACATCTCACAGCAAGAACTGGGAAATCTGGTGCAGTCCATGAGGAGGAGATGCACTGCAGTACTTAATGCAGCTGGTGGCCACACCAGATACTGACTGTTACTCTTTGTTCAGAGACACATTATTCCATTTCTGTTAGTCACATGTATGTGGAACTTGTTCAGTTTATGTCTGTTGTTGAATCTTGTTATGTTCATACAAATATTTACACAAGTTAAGTTTGCTGAAAATAAACACGACAGTGAGAGGACGTTTCTTTTTTTGCTGAGTTTATAATAAGACTAGTCCTGGACTAAAACACACTTTCAATGTAGAAAACGCATTCTAGTCCAGGATTATGCTTAATCGGTGTCTGGGAAACCAGCCCTATAACCACAATTACCTTGAAGATGCACTGCCATTCACAGGTTTTCTCTTTAGTTTATTACACAGCAAGGCTAAGTTATACTGTTCCTCTGGCTTGGATGTCCTCATGAATAGGTTTTATTTTGAAGAAGGTGGAAGAAGATTGCTGCTATAAAGTGTGATTGTATGTTTAAGTCTTACTTGTTTGTGCAGTCATGTCATAGCTATACTGAACAAAAATATAAAACGCAACATGTGAAGTGTTGGTCCCATTTTTCATGAGCTGAAATAAAAGATCACAGAAATGTTCCATACTCACAAAAAGCTTATTGCTCACATTTTGTGCACAAATTTGTTTACATCCCTGTTAGTGAGCATTTCTCCTTTGCCAAGATAATCCATCCACCTGACAGGTGTGGCATTTCAAGAAGCTGATTAAAAAGCATGATCATTACATAGGTGTATCTTGTGCTGGGTACAATAAAAGGCCACTCTAAAATGTGCAGTTTTGTCACAACACAATGCCACAGATGAGTCAAGTTTTTAGGGAGCATGCAATTGGTATGCTGACTGCAGGAATGTCCAACAGAGCTGTTGCCAAAGAATTGAATGTTAATTTCTCTACCATAAGCCGCCTCCGTCATTTTAGAGAATTTGGCAGTACATCCAACCGGCCACATATCTGCAGACCACATCAGCCCAGGACCTCCTCATCCAGCTTCTTCACCTGCGGGATCGAGGGGCCGTTTTTTAATAAAGCCGTTTTGTGGGGAAAAACTCATTCTGATTGGCTTAGCCTGGCTCCCCAGTGGGTGGCCCTATGCCCTCCCAAGCCCACACATGGCTGTGCCCCTGCCCAGTCATGTGAAATCCATAGATTAGGGCCTAATGAATTTTATTTAAATTGACTGATTTTCCTTCTATGAACTGTAACTGTAAAATCGTTGAAATTGTTGCATGTTGCGTTTTTATATTTTTGATCAGTATGGGATAAGATGCGTCCGATCGTGTCATGAGATGCCTAAAATGGCAACCTGTTCTCACATCTCCCCCTCCCCTCATCTATCTCTTTCTCAGTATATTGACTCGGCAGACCTGGAGCCAAACACACTGAAGGAGGAGCCTGTGAAGTACCACGAGGCGTGGCAAAAACTCTGCAGTGCTGAGTGAGTATGGTAGGGTCAGGGGGTGGAAGGTCTAGTGGTGGGATGGCACCTGTTATGGTATTGTTTTCCAATCCTCTTCTTGTAGCTGTAGCTAGTTCTACTTATTTTATGTATGGGAGTCCAGTACCAGCACAGCGGATTCATCCAGTTGAATCGGGTATGCCTGAACTTAAACACATCGTGGAAGTGGCTGGGGGGACGCAAGGAGAGTTTTGGGAAACACTGAGATATGGCATCAGTTGGACTGGTAGTGAACAGGGTCAGTATTGTGACTATGTTCATGATGGTGTTTCCCTCTCTCCACAGTGGCATTCTGGTTCCTGGAGGGTTTGGAGTCAGAGGGACCGAGGGGAAGATGCACGCCATCAACTGGGCACGCAAACAGAAGAAACCCTTCCTAGGTACAGAATGAGCTGTATCGGTGGCAGGCAGCCATGATGATGCAATAATCTTTACATCAAGGAACAAATTACACCTAAGGATGGAATTAAAGCTTTCTATTCACACTCCTTCATGTATGTGCAGTGTTAACCTGACTCGTATGTGTTTACAGGTGTGTGTCTAGGGATGCAGCTGGCTGTGTGTGAATTTGCCAGGAACGTGCTAGAATGGGAAGATGCCAACTCTACAGAGTTTGATCCAGAATCAAAGCATCCTGTTGTAGGTTCCACCTTAATAAGATCTCCCCTCCCCTTTACTGGTCGTGAAGGCCAACAAACAGAAATCTGATTCCTTACTGGTTCTTTCTAGGTGATTGACATGCCAGAACACAATCCTGGGCAGATGGGCGGGACCATGAGGCTGGGAAAGAGACGGACCATTTTCAAGACCACCAACAGTATACTAAGTAAGAGACCAAACTTTGAGAGTAATGCCACTGTGTCATAATCACACCATATACCTGCTCTGTGCTTATAGTTGTTTCATTGCAGGAAGACTTTACGGAGATCCTGAGTATGTGGATGAGAGACACAGACATCGCTTTGAGGTTTGTCAGAGGTTCACATCACTTTCTCTCTATAAATCCTTTCTACGTGTCACTAGTGTGCTTACCATGTGTTTCCTGTTCCTGTCTCAGGTGAACCCAGAGCTGAAGGAGCACTTTGAGGGGAAAGGCTTTCACTTCGTGGGTCAAGACGTAGAAGGAGAGAGAATGGAAGTCATTGAGCTAGACGGTAAGGGAGTGTCCGGGATCATGTGTGTGAGTGGACAAAATATTAGCGCTACATTGTTGTTGGCCTGGTTTGCTCGTGCCTTTATACTCACACCTCACATTAACTACAGCTCTTAACCCCCATCTTTTCTTATCTGCTTTATTTCCAGATCATCCGTATTTCGTAGGGGTGCAGTATCATCCTGAGTTCACCTCTCGCCCCATCAAACCATCGCCTCCCTACTTTGGCCTCCTGCTGGCATCAGCCGGGAAACTACAAAGCTACCTACAGAAGGGCTGCCGTCTGTCTCCACGGTAACCACCGAACATTCCCTTAGAATTAGTATGATTCCAAATTCCATACACGTATCAATGAATCTTAAAACGGAAAGACTGCAACCATGCTGGCAATGAATGGACAGGCATAGTTACGAGAACTGCCTCAATTTAATATTGTACTGTGGAACTTAAACATTTTATAGTAACAGTATGCCGTTCTAATACATAGCGTTGGAGGTTGTGTGTGTATACACTACCGGTCAAAAGTTTGGACACACCTACTCATTCAAGGGTTTTTCTTAATTTTTACTATTTTTTACATTGTAGAATAATAGTGAAGACATCAAAGCTATGAAATAACACATGGAATCATGTAGTAACCAAAAAAGTGTTAAACAAATGTAAATATATTTTATATTTGAGATTCTTCAAAAAGCCACCCTTTGCACACTCTTGGCATTCTATCAACCAGCTTCATTACATTTTAGTCATTTAGCAGACGCTCTTATCCAGAGCGACTTAGTTAGTGAATGCATACATTTTTCATAATGGCCCCCCGTGGGAATCGAACCCACAACCCTGGCGTTGCAAGCGCCATGATCTACCAACTGAGCTACAGGAGGGCCATGAGGTAGTCACCTGGAATACATTTCAATTAACAGGTGTGCCTTCTTCAAAGTTAATTTGTGGAATTTCTTTCCTTCTTAATGCGTTTGAGCCAATCAGTTGTGTTGTGACAAGGTATGGGGGGTATACAGAAGATAGCCCTATTTGGTAAAAGACCATGTCCATATTATGGCAAGAATAGCTTAAATAAGCAAAGCGAAACGACGGTCAGTCAATACGGAAAACGTCAAGGACTTTGAAAGTTCCTTCAAGTGCAGTCGCAAAAACCATCCAAGCGCTATGATGAAACTGGCTCTCATGAGGACCGCCACAGGAATGGAAGACCCAGAGTTACCTCTGCTGCAGAGGATAAGTTCATTAATGTTACCAGCCTCAGAAATTGCAGCCCAAATAAATGCTTCACAGAGTTCAAGTAACAGACACATCTCAACATCAACTGTTCAGAGGGGACTGTGTGAATCAGGCCTTCATGGTCAAATTGCTGCAAAGAAACCGCTACTAAAGGACACCAATAAGAAGAGTCCTGCTTGGGCCAAGAAACACAAGCAATGGACATTTAGACCATTGCTTGAGTCCAAATTCGAGATGTTTGGGTCCAACCGCTGTGTCTTTGTGAGACGCGGTGTGGGTGTTATGGTGCTTTGCAGGTGACACTGTCTGATTTATTTAGAAGTCAAGGCACACTTAACCAGCATGGCTACCACAGCATTCTGCAGCGATACGCCATCCCATCTGGTTTGGGCTTAGTGGGAAGATCATGTTTTCCAACACACCTCCAGGCTGTGAAAGGGCTATTTTACCAAGGAGAGTGATGGGAGTGCTGAATCAGATTACCTGGCCTACACAATCCCCAGACATCAACCCAATTGAGATGGTTTGGGATGAGTTGGACGGCAGAGTGAAGGAAAAGCAGCCAACAAGAGCTCAGCATGTGGGAGCTCCTTCAAGATTGTTGGAAAAGCATTCCAGGTGAAGCTAGTTGAGAGAATGCCAAGAGTGCCTATTTGAAGAATCTCATTTTGATTTGTTTAACACTTTTTTTTGGTTACTGCATAGTTCGTCTTCACTATTATTCTACAATATAGAAAATAGCAAAAATAAACACTTGAATAAGTAGGTGTCCAAACTTTTGACTGGTAGTATGTGTAACAAGTCTGAATCCCATTTCTCTCCCTAGGGACACGTACAGTGATCGGAGCGGCAGCAGCACCCCAGACTCTGAAATAGCTGAGCCCTACATCTCACAGGATTGAATGTGACAGGTAGGCAACGACACTACAAACACTTTCATTCTTTGACTTTTTTAAAGCCTGGAATTCAAACTGATATGCTGGTAAAACGGAGCATGTCAGTATGGTTTCTAGGCTACCAAACTTCATTAGCCATAATTTGCTGGAACCATGTATCTGCCCACAAACATTATTTCTTGCAGAGGGAAACGAACAATGAAGAGCTGAAAGAGGAAACATTTTTAATGGAGGATCATCACAAAAGGGCTAAATGAGTTTTAAGACATGTTTCCTGACCTCCCTGAACAGTATTGTTAGTATTGTTCTATGCTCTTGCCAAAAGGTAGGCAGCCATCAAATGTAACTGTCATTATGGGTCAAACAGGCCTCAGAAGTCGTTACATGCAGTAGTAACCTGTAGCTCAGTTGGTAGAGCATGACACTTGCAACGCCAGGGTTGTGGGTTCGTTTCCCACGGGGGGCCAGTATGAAAAATGTATGTACTCACTAACTGTAAGTCGCTCTGGATAAGAGTCTGCTAAATGACTAAAATGTAATGCAGTACTAAAGATTTGTGACTGCATTTTCTTAATTGAGCTGTATGCACAGCAGTGACACTGGACTAAGATGACAACCAATGGATTGGTCAGGACTTGTAATAGCAGTATTATGGGGGTCTGGTTTAATTGTAAATGGATGATCCATTGAAATGATTCCAACCTGTTTATATAGAGATGTATTGTGACTATCCAGGATTACTATGACAATATCCAGCACTGTTCCTCCTTTACACCCATCGCTCATTTTGATTTAGATCATGAATCCCTGAATTGGAACAGCCCAGTTCCAGCTGAACTGGGTACATGTACCCCTAAAAATGACATTGCGTATAACTCAAGTTCACTGCCCCAGTCTGCTATAGAGGGTAATTCCAGGTGAGACCATCAAATCCTATGTAGGGTGACACTAGATTAGTCTCCTGTAATTGGCCAGCTGCTCAAGTAAGTTCATGTGAATAGAGCAAGTTACAGGCTGAATGTCCCCTACTGAAATTCATTAGATTCAAACACCAAAAAACCCACCTGTAAGATTCTACAGTACCAGTTTTTTTTAAAGTTTTTTTATCACTTCCAATCCCCCATGTTTTATATATATATATATATATATATATATATATATATATATATACACACACACACAGTGGGGGGAAAAAGTATTTAGTCAGCCACCAATTGTGCAAGTTCTCCCACTTAAGATGAGAGGCCTGTAATTTTCATCATTGGTACACGTCAACTGTGACAGACCAAATGAGGAAAAAAATTGTCATTGTAGGATTTTTAATGAATTTATTTGCAAATTATGGTGGAAAATAAGTATTTGGTCAATAACAAAAGTTTCTCAATACTTTGTTATATACCCTTTGTTGGCAATGACACAGGTCAAACATTTTCTGTAAGTCTTCACAAGGTTTTCACACACTGTTGCTGGTATTTTGGCCCATTCCTCCATGCAGATCTCCTCTAGAGCAGTGATGTTTTGGGGCTGTCGCTGGGCAACACGGACTTTCAACTCCCTCCAAAGATTTTCTATGGGGTTGAGATCTGGAGACTGGCTAGGCCACTCCAGGACCTTGAAATGCTTCTTACGAAGCCACTCCTTCGTTGCCCGGGCGGTGTGTTTGGGATCATTGTCAAGATGAAAGACCCAGCCACGTTTCATCTTCAATGCCCTTGCTGATGGAAGGAGGTTTTCACTCAAAATCTCACGATACATGGCCCCATTCATTCTTTCCTTTACACGGATCAGTCGTCCTGGTCCCTTTGCAGAAAAACAGCCCCAAAGCATGATGTTTCCACCCCCATGCTTCACAGTATGTATGGTGTTCTTTGGATGCAACTCAGCATTCTTTGTCCTCCAAACACGACGAGTTGAGTTTTTACCAAAAAGTTCTATTTTGGTTTCATCTGACCATATGACATTCTCCCAATCCTCTTCTGGATCATCCAAATGCACTCTAGCAAACTTCAGACGGGCCTGGACATGTACTGGCTTAAGCAGGGGGACACGTCTGGCACTGCAGGATTTGAGTCCCTGGCGGCGTAGTGTGTTACTGATGGTAGGCTTTGTTACTTTGGTCCCAGCTCTCTGCAGATCATTCACTAGGTTCCCCTGTGTGGTTCTGGGATTTTTGCTCACCGTTCTTGTGATCATTTTGACCCCACGGGGTGAGATCTTGCGTGGAGCCCCAGATCGAGGGAGATTATCAGTGGTCTTGTATGTCTTCCATTTCCTAATAATTGCTCCCACAGTTGATTTCTTCAAACCAAGCTGCTTACCTATTGCAGATTCAGTCTTCCCAGCCTGGTGCAGGTCTACAATTTTGTTTCTGGTGTCCTTTGACAGCTCTTTGGTCTTGGCCATAGTGGAGTTTGGAGTGTGACTGTTTGAGGTTGTGGACAGGTGTCTTTTATACTGATAACAAGTTCAAACAGGTGCCATTAATACAGGTAACGAGTGGGGGACAGAGGAGCCTCTTAAAGAAGAAGTTACAGGTCTGTGAGAGCCAGAAATCTTACTTGTTTGTAGGTGACCAAATACTTATTTTCCACCATAATTTGCAAATAAATTCATTAAAAATCCTACAATGTGATTTTCTGGATTTTTTTTCTCTCTCAATTTGTCTGTCATAGTTGACGTGTACCTATGATGAAAATGACAGGCCTCATCTTTTTAAGTGGGAGAACTTGCACCATTGGTGGCTGACTAAATACTTTTTTCCCCCACTGTATATATATACACATATCCTTTAAAAATATATATATATATATTAAACTGATATACTTTTTTATTTATCACAGTTTTCCTTAACCAATGATGTTCTTTAATGCAAGGCCGACAGACAAGTTCCTTACTTTCTCCTCCTTCCACTTCCATTTTTGCGGTAAGGCTGCAATTATTTGGTTGTAATTTTGGGTAGAGCAGACATTTCCATGTTTTTGTTAGCTGCATGTGCGACAACTCCACCAGTCCTACCGATGATATCATTTTCAAAGATTATACCTTTTTTTTTTTTTTTTGTCAACAAAAAAAAAAGTTTTTGTCAATTAGTATATTTGAGTTTAACCACAATATTTGTTGCATTATTTGTTCTGTTTCTGGAGGATTAAATTGAAATTGCAACCAACTTTCTATGGCTATGTTTTAGAAATAGTGATATCTGGGAGATGATTTCCTTTTCAAATAACAGAAAGTGAGTGGTTGTAATCTGAATAAAGGGAAAAAGGCCATTCTTGAACATTGGTTGAGACAATTTTACTAATTTGCTAGAGAACCAGTTCGGATTTATGTATAACTTTTGTATGACTGAAGCTTTTAGTGATAGGTCTGTTTTAATATTTAATTTCTGTCCTCCGAATTCATATTCATATAAATAGGCCCGTTTAATTTTGTCTGGCTTGCCGTTCCAAATAAAATGGAATATTTTTTTTTCATAATTTAAACAACTGTTCGTTAGGCGTAGGCAAGACCATAAGCAAATAGGTAAACTGGGATAATACTAAAGAGTTAATCAGGGTGATTTTTCCACAAATTGACAGGTATTTACCTTTCCATGGTAGCAAGATCTTATCTATTTTTGCTAACTTTCTATTATAATTTATTGAAGTGAGATCATTTATTTCCTTTGGGATATGTATTCCGAGTATATCCACATCACCATCAGACCATTTTATTGGTAAACTACATGGCAATGTAAAAATTGTATTTTTTATTGATCCAATACTTACTAGTACATTTGTCATAATTTGGTTGTAATCCATAGTTAGAAAATGTATCTAGATCCTCTGAGGCTGTGGAGTGATTCTAGTTGTGGATTTAAAAGAAAACATGAATCATCAGCGTACAATGACACCTTTGTTTTTAAGCCCTGGATTTCTAATCCCCTGATATTGTTGTTGGATCTGATTTTAATAGCCAACATCTCGATGGCCACAATAAATAAATATGCCGATAGTGGACAACCTGAAAAACAGTTTGAAATAGCCATTATTTTACACCAAGGGTTACTATACATGATTTTGACCCATTTTATAAGAGATTCACCTAAATTGAAATGCTCCAGGCATTGATATATAAACCCCAGTCGTACTTTATCAAATGCCTTTTCGAAGTCTTCTATGAATAACAGGCCTGGTTTCTCAGATTTTCCATAATGTTCTATTGTTTCCAATACTTGCCTTATATTATCTCCAATGTATCTTCCATGTAAAAAACCTGTGATTTAGACTGAATGTCCGACAATACCTTTTTTATTCTATGCGCTATACATTTTGCATCACAACACTGAAGTGTAAGGGGCCTCCAATTTTTTTAATGGACTGGATCTTTATATTTTCCACTTGTATCCAGTTTCAGTAATAATGAGATCAGACCTTCTTGAGTGTCAGATAATTTACATAGGAGTGGTTAAAACATGCTAATAACGGTCCTCTTAGTAAAAAAATCAAAAAAGGTTTGGTATACTTCGACTGGTATGCCATCCAACCCTGGAGTGTTCCCGGACTAAGTCTTAATTGCATCCAGAAGTTCCTCCTCTGCATATGCTTAAAGTACCTTGTTTCCTCCTTCAAAATATAATTTGGTGAATCATGGGTTACTCCGTCAATTGTAACCAGTTTCATTATTATTTTTGGTAGCATTCCTATGTTGAAGATGTGCATTATATTCCATCCAGTTTGCTTTATTTTTTTATAATATATTACACTTGATCTTTCTTGAGTTTCTCCATTTCTTTTAGTTTTTCCTCTAATTTATTCTGAGCCTCTGTTAGTTTATATTGCCATCTGTTCGACTTTATTTCCTTTGTTAGTATAAACTCTTGACCTGAATTGCATGGCCTCTAAAGGCACCCCATACAATAAGGGGATTTGCTGTACCTATGTTATGTGGGGAAAAAATCAGTTATAAATTCCTTTGTCCTAGTTAAAAATAAATCATCCAATAGGCTTTGATTAAATTTCCAATATCCTCGCCCACGTGGAAATTCAGTAAGAGTAATGTATATGCCAATTATGATGGTCCGACCGCATTCTGTCCCCTATCAACACTAACTTTTGGTGCCGTGTATATCTCACTAGATCAGGATATTTAAGCCTCCATATATATCTACGACATTGACGATTTCCATAAGAGCATGTGGGTGATTGTAGTGTGACTTCCTTTACGGTCCATTGAGCTATTTAAAACAGTTATAATCCCCCACCATAATATTGTCTTGAATTGCTTGCAGGGTTTATCATATTGTCAAAGAAGTGTGGATCATCATTATTTGGTCCTTAAATGTTAATGAGCCATCTGTTTATTATCTATTAACATATTTAAAATAATCCATCTACCTTGCGTGACAATTTGCACATTCGGATCAAAATTACTATTAATA